TATTATTTAAATAATAAATGTGTTGAAATGAAACTTTTTTAACTAACATTTATTCAGTACTTAACTATAAACTAGGCACTCTCCTATGCATTTTAACTATATTTCTATCCTGATTTTGTACGGTAGGAAAGCAGTATTTCCAGTGTAATGGGTGCACTCAGCCACCTGTGGTAAGGGGCTGATCCCTGAGCAAAGTGCAGGCCTAGTGGACTCCAGAACCTGTGTTCAAAACAAAACCATGGCCCTCCAGACTTCCCAAAGAACTTTAACTATTTTAGGATCCTACATGGGTCACTGTTGAATCTTAAGCTGCATGGTCCATAGAATTGTACACTGAGGTCATCAATGAGTGTGTCCTGAGTGGGCAGGAGTTTCTCTGTGTGCAATGACTCTACCCCGGGCCATCACATATGCCAACTTCTCACCTGAGTGGTCTCACTTAATCCTTAGCAGGAACCCTCTCACACAGTTCAGGATTGTCCCCTCTTGACAGGTGATACGCTGTAGCACAAGGAGACAGGCATCTTGCCCAAGGTGACACTGATAGTGAGTGGGACAGCAAGAATTTAAACTCGAGTTTGAGTCTCAACACTAAGACTGTTTGCTCTGTGGCCCAAGCTCTGGACTCCGCATTTAGCTATGCACGTGTTTTCCCATTTCCTCCCGACTGACTTCAACCTCGGAAGGGGAGGGACACCCATATTTGTCATGCACCTGCTGTGGGTGGGACCTTGCCCAGAACCTTGGATTTATGAGCTCCTGCACAGCCCGAATGTTTGCCTGTCCCCTGGATTGTTGCTTTATTCAGGGGTCCTCAAACTTTTTAAAAAGGGGACCAGTTCACTGTCCCTCAGACCATTGGAGGGCTGGACTGTGGGCCCTGGGATGAGTCAGCTGCTAAGCAGGACAGGAAGTGGGGGCAAAAATACCTGGTGGGCCGGATAAATGTCCTAGGTGGGCTGCATATGGCCTGCAGGCCATAGTTTGAGGATGCCTGACTTTATTATTTAGGGTTTTCTTTCCAACTACTGAAGCAGGGTTCTAGAGTATCCTTGCCATGCTCCACACAGTTCTGGTGGGAGTGCCCGGGCTCTTCCACTCTGGTGTGCTCCACAGGCCTGGAGCCAGGCTGGTGGGGTTTTCTGTGAGACGTTGCTCACTTTCAAAACGTCATGCTGCACAGTAATTTATGAAGAATGGAGGTTTGTAGCACTTGTTTATGATAATTTTCAGCCACAAATATATACATAGGTTTTTTTTCATGATTTCTCTTTGGATTACCATTTAACTCCTTATCTCAGTAGTCATAGTGAATGAGCCTGAGGAAGATTCCTCAAAGTTTCCTTTATGTCTCTCTTGAAAAAACTATTTGATATTTGCATCTAGTTTTAAAAGGCAAACTTAATAACAGACTCCAGAGACTGTGCTTTCCTTAGTGAGCCCTGAAGTGCCATCAATATGAGGCAACAGTGATGTAGAAGATGAAGCTGACGGCAGGTGCTGGCAGGTGCACACAGGTAGCAGGCCAGGGGTGGGATATTCAGGGCTGCTTGAAGCTAACTGGGCTTCATAGCTGCTGTGCACGGTGCCTTTGTTAATCCCCTTCCCGCTTTCATTCCTGCTTAGTCACAGCTCATGTTGACACTGTGAGATTTAAATTAATAGCTCTGTCAAAGCAAGCAGACCTTTGTGGAGCATCTGCTCCTGGCCACGCACAATTTCCAGAGGCAAGCGTGGCATGCTGAGAAAGGACTGCCTGTTTTTGGCACCTGAATTTCGAGTCATGTCAACTTTTGGTGAGCAGAGGGGTCTCAGGTAGCTTATTCAGTTCTTGGAGCCACTGGCTTTTGCTCTATGAAATGGAAATAGTAGCTCTTATCATTATTGTTTGGTATGATCAGAAAGACCTCCAAGACATGTTATGTGATGAAATAAAGGAGCAGAGAATTGCTCAGAGTGCTGTGCACCTTGTAAGCATGTCAGCATTTGTTTCCAGGGCACATGTGTGCATGTACATGTTGTGTGTGTAGCAGGTGCACACGTGTGCACGTATGTGCTGTGTGTGTAGCAGGTGCACACGTGTGCATGTACGTGCTATGTGTGTAGCAGGTATACATGTGTGCACATACATGCTGTGTGTGTAGCAGGTGCATGTGTGTGCCCGTACATGCTGTGTGTGTAGCAGGTGCATGTGTGTCCATATACATGCTGTGTGTAGCAGGTATACACGTGTGCATGTACATGCTGTGTATGTAGCAGGTGCACACATGTACATGTACAGGCTGTGTGTGTAGCAGGTGCACACATGTGCACGTACATGCTGTGTGTATAGCAGGTGCACACGTGTGCACGTACATGCTGTGTGTATAGCACATGCACACGTGTGCACGTACATGCTGTGTGTATAGCAGGTGCACACATGTACACGTACAGGCTGTGTGTGTAGCACATGCACACGTGTGCACATACATGCTGTGTGTAGCAGGTGCACACGTGTGCACATACATGCTGTGTGTGTAGCAGGTGCATGTGTGTGCACATACAGGCTGTGTGTAGCAGGTGCACGCGTGTGCACGTACAGGCTGTGTGTGTAGCAGGTGCACACGTGTGCACGTACATGCTGTGTGTGTAGCAGGTGCACGTGTGTGCACGTACATGCTGTGTGTAGCAGGTGCACACGTGTGCATGTACATGCTGTGTGTAGCAGGTGTACATACACAGACATGCACATATGTGCGTGGCAGTACTTTAGAAGGATCTGTGAGCAATTATTGAACTCTGGGGGTAGGGCACTTCAAGTTATGTTTTCTTTGGTGATAGTGAGTTTTTATGCTTATTTATTTTACCATGTCTCTATTTGGCCTAAATGCAGTGGGTCCCTTCATCTTCCATAGACAGGTGATCTGATCTGCTCCCGGCTGTGCACTGGCTCTGCTGGTCTTTCTGCACCAGTATTTGCCTGTCTGTATTGGATCTTGATATAATAGGAAACATGAGAAATGGGAATAAATGGATTACCCTTAATTTTGGGTGAAGCCAGACATCGTAGTTGGCTGAATTTTCTGGTTTTGAAATCTTTGGATTCCAAACCTTGTTGGTTGTCTTTATTAAATTCAAATCAGAAGGACCAGGTTTCCGGGCTGGGAAGATCTAGGCCCTGGGCAGTAAAGTTACTGCAGAGGGTGTCCCCAGTGGCCCCTGTGTGGGGCGCCCAGCCCCACCTTCATGCCTGAGTCACTTGCTCTCAAACTACTGAGGTTATTGGTGGCCAGCAGCAATCAGCCCAGTATGGGGTTGCCCAGTCTAGAGAGAGCTGCTCACCCAAGTCACCTCTTCCCCATAAGGTAACTCACTCCCAGTACTGGTCAGTGCCTGGGTACAGAGACCTGGCCCTTACCTGATGCTGGCTGTTCTGGAAGTCCAGGATTCCCCATGGCCTGGGTGCAGGTCTCTCTTGTGCCTGGATGACAATGGAGTACCCTCTTCCTTCTGTCCTGGCCTGTCCCCTGTGGATACTGCTTCTGAGAGCAGACCCCAGTGACCCTCTAGTAGTCTATTTCTAGGGGACACCTCTAAGACAGTCTCAGAGCTAGGCAATCCCAGAGCTGAGACTTCTGTCACAGTTTCCTAATTGCGAGCACCTGCATCACAGGAGAACTCATCCTGGCAGGGTGGTGGGCATCAGTCCACTCACACCCATTGTTGTGTGTCCACACAACAGCACTGGGAGCTCAGGCGAAGGCAGGCGTGTGTTAACCCTCAGCAGACCAGCTGTGCCCCTACTTAGGCCTCTGAGATAACAGCAAAAGTGAAGGGAGCTAAGTAAGGCAGGAGGCTGCCCCCACCTTGCAGATGCAGAACCACTTACTAAAGTGACAGGTGGGACCCCTCCATCTTCCACCCTAGCAGGCCAGGCAAGGCCACACCAGGGCAGGAAGAGCCCCTGCTTCCTCCTACCCCACGTGAGCAGTAGGTTGGCCAGCGGGCCCTCGTCCACCGAGGTTTCAGTGCACTCCTCAGGACCTCCCACCTTCTGCACCCAGGCCCTTTCTCTGCTCTCAGAACGGATCTTTCCTGAGGGGCGTCCTAGGACACCCTTCTCTCATGTTGGCAAGAAAGTCAAAATTGTGCTGTTTCTTCCTCTTCACCCTGCCTAGATCTCTAAATGAATCCTGGACTCATGTCTTTTCCTTGCTGGATAAACTCCTTTGTAATTCTCCTAGTTTAATCCATTCTGCATCTGCAAACAAAATATAATGCATGGAGCACCCGGCACTGTGTGCTCTTACAAGCCCCTCACGAGGTTTGCTTTCAATGTTGATGATTTAACCTCACGACCTCTTCCAATTTAACAACAGCAGGATTTTTTCCTCTTCTTTGGCGTGACCAACTATAATAAATCCACCTGCTACGAAGGTCTTTCTAAATTCCTATCTCCCCGTGAATAGGGCTCCTCCCTCCCTCCTCCACAGCCTCTTCTCAGAGTGTACCCTGCAGTTCTGGGGGACAGGCTTGTAAGTGGGGGCCATTCAGGTGCCACAGACCTTTGACATCAATGCTTTCATCTTCATCATTCATCATCACTGTTACTACTACTAATAATAATTTTGCTACTTTATGGCTTTAATTTGAACATGATACAGTGAAGGTGAGGTGAGTTTCCTTATTTGTCCCACATAGAAGGATGAAAAAGAAACTCAAGCTCAAGGCAGTGCCTGTCACTCAAAGGAATGGGGCACTGGCCCCATATGCTGGAGGTGGTGGGTTCAAACCCAGCCCTAGCCAAAAACTGCAAAAAAAAAAAAAAAAAAAGAAAAGAAACTCAAGCTCATGCCTGTCTTTTCCTGGAACCTGGAACCACTTCCCAGTTTTTTCAGGACCAGACCTGCTTCCTCCCCTGAACCTCCACACATGTGTGCCTCTGGGTGCAGGGCCGGGTGGGTGGGGTCCTGCTGCTCCTCCCGGCTGTTCCTCAGCGTCTGTTCCCACCCCACCCACAGGGGAGCTTCTACGCCCCCTCGGAGCACTGCATGCAGCATGCGTACAAGTGGCACCGGGACCTGTGCCTGCTGCTCCTCCAGGCCTACCAGGGACTCCGCCTCTACTTCCTGCTGATCATGAGAGACATCCCGGAGCTGCCGCACACAGAGCTGGGTAAGGGGACCAGGGCGGGGGCACCTTTTCCCACTAGGGTAGGAAAAGCCGCATGGTTTGCTACACATCACAGGACTGACATGCGGTCCAGGTGGGTTTGGCCTGGGCCATGCATTATTCTAGCAGGAGAGACTCTTGGAAGTGCAGATCCGGGATGAAAAGGCGCGGGTGCTGCTTCCACCTCTAGGGCCGAGATGTTCATTGAGACCTGGTGATGCAGCGTGAGGTCGCCTTCTAGGGGGAAGATGCTCATATATCACTGTTTCTTAATTAGGCTGTAACTACAAAATTGTTAACTTACCAAAGTATAAAACAGTCCTCACAAAGAATGATCCATGTTCATTTTGTATATATGTTTATGTACACATATGATCTGGATATCTGAGAACTAATGAATTTTTGTACATGGATTTTCCAAAGATTAGATTCTACAGAGATGGTTGGGCCAGGATCCTTCTCAGTTGGCTGGTGATGGACGAAGTTCAGAGAGCTAGAATGAGCGTTTAGAGTCCACAGCAAAGTGCAGCAGAATCAGGAGTCAAGCTCGGGCTTCATCCTGCGCTGATTCCCAGGGCAGGGTCCTTTATATCACATCACACTCAGTCACAACAGGTGGGGTGTCCTGGGTCTGCTCAAAGTCCTCGAATAAGGGCCCTTTGTCCTCACATACAAGGCCCAGTCTTCAGCCTGGTCTTCTAAGTTAACACCAATTCCAACATCAGAATCCTATGCTGGGCCCCTTCGTTTTTCTACCTAGCCCCAGACCTCAACTACTGAGTAATTGTGGGCTTGACTGTGTCTCTGGCCTTGTCATTCACTGCCCAGGCTGCACTGAGATCATCACACAATCTGTCGGCACATTTTCTTTCCATCTGATCTTCAGGGGATCAGGGCACCCTCAGGTCTCTGTGGATCTGCAGTAGGGGAGTGGGTGCAGGGAGTAAGAGTTAGAGTAAGCCTTAGCTTACTACAATGTTAGAGTAAGCCTTCTGGAGCCATCTCACCATCAGCTTTATCAGCTCTAACGCCGAGTCCTGTGCTCAGGTGTCACTCTTTGAGTCAGGCGATTTCTGCATTTGTTTCAGGTTCTAATCTTATGTATGCAGTAAAGGTAAGTACAGAATAAAAGCCAGTGTATATAGCTCATAGGGAAGAGGACATCGTTCAGCAGCTATATAACATTTTTCCTTTTTTTTTTTTGCAGTTTTTGGCTGGGGCTGGGTTTGAACCCGCCCCTCTGGGATAGGGGGCAGGCACCCTACTTCGAGCCACAGGCGCTGCCCTAACATTTTTCCTTTTTGTCCAGAGGAACTGAGTTTATTTGTCCACTCACCCATCATATCTTATTGGGCACCTTTGATGTGTCAGGCACTGTGCTGGACACCAAGGGCCCACACCTGTGATCAACACAGCAGTCTGTTATGCCCTCCCTCTCCCTCCGAGCTTCACAGACTGGAGGACGACAGCCAGGGGAGAGATGCATGCTAATCAGGTCATCAGCCAGCGTCCTGCATTGCTATGGGGTTGTCAATACTCATCTGGGCAATCAAAACCCATCTGGGCAAATCATCTTGGGCAATTAAAATCCAAGCCACAGCCGTATGCAAAGTTACTGACCACAGCATCATGGAACTAGGGGAGAGTCAAACACAGCCATGACCATGATTGTTAAATCACAAATGGCCCTCGGCCGGGAGCCAGTGAAGCTGGGAAGTAAGCTTAGCCCTGCCACCGCACCTGGCTGGGCTGCTGCTTTTTCATCTGTGAGATGGAAATGCAAATCCTTGTCTGTTATATGCTGCACAGATGTGTATCTCTATGCATACGTGTGTGTGTGCACATACCTGCAAAAACAGAAGTGCAGAACGCCTTTGGACCAAAGTACTGTATGACAGTGGGGATATACTGCCTCTCATCACTATGCCCATGGGACGATCCTGGCCTTTGTCTAGTGCATGGTCCATTCGGACTTATTACTCTCTTTATAAACATAATTCCTTCAGGAAGGTAGAGTATATTAACATGTAAGGAGAGTACTCAGCATTTGTGTCTGTCTCTGTGACTGTAATACCAACTTGAAAGTTAGGCTTTTTGATTTAATTAGCAACTGCTGCATTTCTACATGTGTTCGTTTAATGACATGTTGTGTATGTTTTTTCTTCCTAGAGGCCCTTGCTGTTGAAGAAACGCTTTCTCAGCTGTGCTCAGAGCTGCAGGTAATTAGAGAACTGGCCCTGGGGTCTGAAGGAGTGGCAGGAGCTGTGCCAGGCAGACGTAGTTGCTTGCTATAGAAGCCAGAGGTGAAAGACACCCCTGGTCACCTCCTTCTAGAACTCAGAGAAGAAGTGTTCTTAGGTTTGCTCTGGGTCTCTGGCTATTAGTGTGTGTCTTGCGTTTGCTAGATGTTTTGGAAAATCTAAACCTGTCTCCTTGAAGCTTGCATTGCACCTGTGTGTCTGCCTGTTATCCATCCATTGAATAAATTTGTTGACTAGTGACAATGTGCTTCTCCCTGGGCTTGATAGGACCTTGCATTTCTACTCAGATGGCCTTGGACAGGGTGGAGAGACAGAGGCAATCGTGACAAACGGTAATGTGCATTTGCCAAAAAAAGTCACCAAGCATTTATTAAAAATATGTACTCAATATCTATTTGACAAATGCATGCTACTGTTAGTTATAATTTCTGGAACACCGTCACATCCCATTATGTCAAATGTTCTGGGTGAGTACTTCGGTTTGAATCCAGGCCCTTCCTCTCAGCAGCTGCAGGACCCTAGATGATGAACTTGGCCTTTAAGGCCTAGGAGTACCTGTCTGCATGCTGGGGTTGTCATTGAGTGAGAGTGGCCACCCAAGAGTGCAAGCCAGGGCTCAGCTCATGGAGACTGCTCTGCAGAGGCGGCCTCTTCTCCCCAAACTGGCCAGGCTGCCTCTGAGTCCACCCCTGGAAGGCCCCCTAGAGGAGGCACCCCCCAGTATCCCGAGGAAGAACTGCTTGAATCTGTACATTATGAGAAAGGTAGAGTTAGCAGGTGAGGACAATAGCAGCAGCAACAGAAAGAAGCTCGGTCGACTTCCCAGTTCAGCTTTCAGATTTCCAGGTCCCAGGCTGGGCAGCAGAGCCAGCTGATGAGCACTCGTGTGCCCACACGACACACCTGCCCTCCCGCAGGGCATGGCCTGCGGCCCCCTGCCCTGAAGCCCCCTGCCCTGCGACCCCCTGCCCTGCGGCCCCCTGCTCTGCTCTCTGTGCCCTTCCTGCTCAGCTTTCCAGGAGCTTCTTGTCCAAAGCCCAGGCTGACAGTAGCAACAGAGCCACCAACTTCCATGCCATCAGCAGGGACTCCCAGCCAGACAGGGCTCTAAGTGCTTGTCAGTAATATCGCCTTTAACTCCTGTCACCCATGGAAACATCACCTTTGCCAACACACTTGACCAGGGCTGCTGGTAAGCAAAGGAGGGTGTCCATACTCATACCCGGCAGGCCTTCTGCCTCCAGCTAGGCAGAGCCCCAGCTATGCAGCTCCAGGCCCCACAGTCCCAGGGCAGGCAGGGCCACCACCTGTTTTCGCCTTATCTGTCATGACGCTGGGTGGTGGGGAATTGGGGAGTACTGCAAAGATTATGTGCGTCAGAGCCAGGCAGACCAGCTAGAAATTCCTTCCTGCTAACTGTGTGACTTGAGGCAAGTTGCTTAAGGTTCATAAGCCTTGATTTTACTATCTGTAAAATAGGGACAAACATCATGTGGTTGCTGCTGATGTCTTTTTCTGTTAACTGGTGAGTGTGGCCTACTCTGCCAGGGGCTGCTGTTTGTGGGAATTGTGTGCATTTCCGTATTTAATCGATAGCATGATTCTGTAGAAGCAATCATATTATGTTCCATGGATGAAGATACTGGGCTGGACTCTCCTGTGCTGCTGGGCAGGGCTCCTGGCACCTTGTGAGCTCTTAACAAAGGCTGGGATGAGTGGATGCCAATGTGAGTTGTAAGAACAACCCTGAGGTGAGGAAGGGATTGATGCTGGAGCAGTTAGTGCTGCCTCCCTGAGGTTGCTGGCTCCTCTATACAATGAGCCTGGACTCAGGTGTTCACTGCCCGATTCAGTAGCTCTGTGCATGAGGTCCTGTGTTGGCACCACCTGGAGAGGGGAGGAGAAAGTGGACTTCTGCCCAGACTGCAGGCATAGCCCTGAATCTGCCAGCTGGTGATCTGGCACTGGGCAGGTCACTTCCATGTGTGAAAGCAACTGTTACGAGATGAACAGGCACAGGGTGCTTAAAGACAGAGCCTGGACACCATTCCATCACCACCACTGCTATGGACAGTGCTTAGGACAGAGCCTGGACACCGTGTCACCACCACCGCTATGGACAGTGCTTAGGACAGAGCCCGGACACCGTGTCATCACCACCACTGCTATGGACAGTGCTTAGGACAGAGCCCGGACACCGTGTCATCACCACCACCGCTATGGACAGTGCTTAGGACAGAGCCTGGACACCGTGTCATCACCACCACTGCTACGGCAGCCTTGTTCATAATCACTGATGCTGTCCCATGGGACTGGTGAGGGCTGCAGAAGCAGATATGGATACTGTATGTCAGGGGTCCTCAAACTTTTTGAACAGGGGGCTAGTTCACTGTCCCTCAGACTGTTGGAGGGCCAGACTGTGGACCCTGGGATGAGTCGGCTGCTAAGCGTGACAGGCAGTGGCGGCAAAAACACCTGGCAGGCCAGATAAATGTCCTCGGCTGCCCGCGGGCTGTAGATTGAGGACGCCTGTATGTGGTTTGGGCCCCCAGGTAGATGCGTGGCTAATTCCACCCAGGAGGTGATGGGCTCTAGGGGGCCCTAGAGGGGAGACACCCCAGGGGGAATAACAAGCTCCCCCTGTTTGCACAGGAGCAGTTGGTAAAGGCAGGAGGGTGCCAGGCTGTGCCTGTGGGACAGTGGATAGGGCTCTGAGAAGGGGGGATTGGAGTGACTGCAGCTCGAGGGAGGGAGCCCAGGCTGACAGTGAAGGGGCCTTTGTGTTCATGTACCAGGGAGCAGTGACAAGTACCCCGGGTTATGGAGAGCCATGAAAAAGAGACACCACGTGGAAAAAGAAACCTCTGAGATGGGGCGCTGAACGCTTTGATGACAGATCGGTGGAGGTTTCCTCCCCCGACAACCTCACCAGTTCCCTGGCACCTGCTGCATGCCCTGCATTCTGGTCCCTCCTGCCACTGTCTCTCTGGGGGTGGCATCAGGTTCACGTGTGAAGGGCACCATCTCCCAAGACTGGTGCCACTTCAGAAGCTACTTGCCAATCCTGGGCTTCCAGCACTTCCTACCAATCGTCTATAACTTAGAGGTTTTCATGACGCCCTCATCAAGTTTAATTTGATTAAATGGCTCACAGAACTCAGCACTATTTTGTACTATTACTGATTTATTACAAAGGGCGTTGCACAGAATATAGACAGTCAGACAAAGGGGAGCATAGGTTGTGTTCTGGAAGGGGCCCTAGAGCAGAGGCTTCTGTCCCCTGGAGTGGGGGTATGTGGCCCTCCTGGCATGTGGCTTTACTCACTGACCAGTGGCTTTCATAGTTCTGCCATTTAAACTTTTTCTGGAGGTCTCTTTACGTCAGTGGCCTTGGTGACCAGCACCTGTCCCTTCTATAGCAGTTGGGGTGGTACAGAGAGTCCCAGCCCTAATCTGGAATGGGTATTTCTGGTTAACAGCCTCCTCTACCCTAAAACTGTTCAGGGACCTGACAAGGGACACCTCATTAGCATAGACTCAATTAGCATATGGCTGAAAGGGATGTAGAATGATAAAAGATATTCCTGTCACTCGGGAGCTCTGTGACAAAACAGATTTCACAGAGCAGAGGGGAGGGAGTCTTGAGGCAGGACACAGTGGTCCCGGTTAAGCGGTTTCTGCAGTGACTCAGTCCCTGGCCGGCGCTGTCCTGGCAGCAGCCCTGGGAGCAGCCTGCAGGGAGGAAGGCACTCACAGCCCCACCAGGGCCCGGGGAGGGGACACGCAGGGCTGTGGCGAGATGGTCGGATTTCCCTGTGGTGCTGCCACAGCGGTTCAGGCGAGAGACTCAGGGTTGGGACGCAGGCTGTCAAACCGTTCATCACATGTATCAGGAGAGCCCTGCATGTTGGCCTCCTCCACTGCAGGGACGCCATGTGGGTGGCGCGACTAAACTGCCACCAGCTGCATTTGGCTCAAAGCTTCAAAATGAGCCGACTGGCGCAGGGACGTGGCTAAGGAACCGGGTGGGGTGAATGGGGTGGGCGTCAGCCTCCTCCTTGGTGTGTTGAGGGACTGGTCTGGCCATTGGACAGGAAGAAACAAGGTCCCCTCCCCAAGCCCCCAAAGAGCGGCCGCGGGGTCCCCAGAGCCACCTTGAGAGGCTGGACACCGCCCCCTGGTGGCCAGCCACGAGCAGTAGCGAATGTCTTGGTCTCAAGTTCCTGCAGGCGACCGGGCAGGTGGCAGGGGAGGGTGGGACTTGTTTCAGGTCATTTAAGACAATTTGAAGACCAAGAGCTCACAGTGATGGAGTGCCCCACTATCTTCGCTCCGTGTGGATCTTTGTGGATCTTTACGGAGCATCTACTATGTTGGCCAAAAGAACGTGTGGTCTAGTGAGAAACAGATTTCCTCGCAGATAAGGAGGAAGCTGCCCATCTGGTCAGGGCTAGAGCCAGGGAGTGTGGGGGAGGGGCTGAGGCAAGGGGGAGGTGTGGCCTGATTCCCCGGAATCTCTGGGGAGGTGAGGATGGCTCTGTTCCAGGATGAGAGGGAAGGGTGTTCCAGGCACAGGGAACAGCCATGCTAAGCCCAGGGTTAGAGTCCTTCTGAATGAAGCACCTCAGGGCTGGTGTGAGCTCACGTGGAGTATGGGAAGCCCCTGCCTCACGGCCTGATTAGGAAGGGGGTGTCCTCCCTCTGAAGGATGGGCAGGTTCTAATGAAACTCAGTGACATGCCTGGGTACAACAAACAGGTCTAGCACAAGTATCTATCGGAAAACAATGCTTTTTCCTTGCTTTAATTCAGTAACATAAAGTTTTCTTAAGAAAATTTCCTGCATGACCCTCCCTCCAAATTTAGAGGTGATCCCAATTTCCTGTGTACTCGTTTCTAGAATTGTGTCCTCCTAGTAAGAAATACTCAAGATAAGAACAGTTATTAAGCGTGAATGAG